TTCTCCTGTTCTCCAGGAGTTCTCAAAGATTATTTCCAGTGGCTCTGACAATACATTTGCCAGTTCTTTTAATATCCTTGGATGTAGTTCATCAGGTTCTGGAGACTTAAATTCATTTAGGTTAACCAGGTATTCCTGTACTTCCTCTTTAATTATTTTGTGCTACATTTCCCCTATTGTGTCCTCTGCTCCATTTTCCTCAGGTTGAACACCCTTTTCCTTTTGTGAGAAGACTGAGGCAAAGAAGGTGTTGAGTAATTCTGCCTTTTCTCTGTCCCCTGTTAGAATTTCTCCATCTTCTCTGTGCAGTGGCCCTACCATTTTCTTCTTCTTTCGCTACGAACATACCCAAAGAAGCCCTTTTTATTGTGCTTAACCATTCTAGCAAGCCTGAGCTCATTCTGTGCATTGGTTTTCCTGACTTTACCCCTATACGTGCTAGCTATTTGTTTGAATTCCTCTTTAGTGATTTCACCCCTTTTCCATTTCTTATAATCTCCCGTTTAAAACTTTGTTCAGTTGAAAGTTCTTTTGCCATCCAATCCGGTTTCAAAGCACCATCTTGGAGTCAGAGAAGGGGAGGGACAGCCGGACACCAGATACCCCAACCCTTTCCCAAGGACGCTATCAGAGTGCCTGCCATTGCACACGGTGAGCACTTTGATGACGTCCTTCTGGTGTAGCATTTTTACATGCTGTGCCAGAAGAGGCACAAAAGAGCCACGTGGTGACTCTTGGGGCACCCTTTCCACGGCTTGGGAAAGGAGTGCTGTTTCAGCACTCCTTTCCCAGTCGCTGAAAGCATGGATTGGGGCCGAGGAATGGAGAAGCCTTGGCCCCAATCCTCTGCTTCTTGGGGCGGCCTATAGCCACCCGTCTGCATCCCCCCTTAGTACTTTGAGTATAATTTAAATATGACTAAGACTGGATAGGAAGTCTATGGCTTATTTTAAAATACTTAACCAAAGTCAATAGCTCTTGAATGTAGATAGTGACATATCTTTTCAAGAGGTTTTCTTCACTTGCCCTCAGATTGATTAGTACCACTAAGGATGGATGAAGACTTCTCAGCTCAATTCAGAATTGATTTACTATTTACAAGCTTCCCCAGTGGTTGTTCAGGAAAGCCTTATCTGTTTCTGACAGTCCACTCTCAGTTTGTGATGTGGATGTAAAGAGGCTTCTGATGGTGCTATTGCATATGTGACTCACTCTATTTCTTCTCAGAAATTATAGTTCTTAGTGCCCACCATAGATGACAATAATGTGGAAATTCAGCATCATAACCTCCCACCAAAACATCTGAAAATAAGAGAAGACTTTAGATGTGGTGTGAAAGATCCTTCACTGGGGAGGGGGACCTTCAAAGAATCCATTAAGAAAAGTGAATCCAGACACAGAAGACATTCACCAAACAGACAGAACAGCTAGTAGCATCCTCTATTCATCTAAAACAGGGGTAGGCAACCTTTTTGAGCTGGGGGCCGGGTTGCTGTCCCTCAGACAATTGATGGGCCGAAGCACCAAAAATAAATAAATAAATAAATAAAAATTAAAATTAAAAAAAATTAAAAAAATTTGAAAAATGCATGTACACTCTCTCAGCCCCAGAAAAGCCATGGCAAAACCCCTGTGGAGATTTTGCCAAGAAAACCCCAAGAACAAGTAATAACAACAATAATTAATATCATCATGGCGGGTGGCGGCGGTGGCGGTGGCAGCGGCAGGACCGGCCTGGGGCCAGTCCAAAGGCCTTGGGGGGGCCACATCCGGCGCCCGGGCCTTAGGTTGCCTACACCTGATCTAAAACAAGGTAAACATTACTGGAATCCAGGTTATTTTGTGACATGAAAGAGAATATACCACAATAATTACTCCACATTTCTGTAATTACCCCCCCCCATAATAATACAAGAATTCAAGAAAAAAGTTGCTGTACTTTCATGGTACCCACCATCTGGTACCTGAGATGGATGGTAGTACAAGCAGTACTGGACTGCTCACTTGGCATTAATTTCAGATTCTCTTGTTGATGAAATAGTAGATTTTGAGTTGAAAAAAGGTGTACGAGGGTGTTTTCACTAATACTAAGAACCATAAGAAATGGATTAACGTCCTCCACTTTAGACACCAGTTCTAATTCAGATTGACACTTCTGCAGCTTCAGAGTACATTTTAAAGTCAAAATGTAGCACATGAAATATATACAAGATAATGGTTTCTCACCTAGGCAGGTATTGTACATGTATCTGTTTCTTTTCATTGGCTTACACAAGCAGGCAGAGATCTGGGAATGCAAATCATCCCACATCTTGTTGGCCTTAACCACTGAACTATGTAGCCAGGGTTTTGAAATGGAATAGTATCATGAACAATGTATCAATTTATCTCATCCGAATGTAAACTCTGTTTAATCTGAGTACACAATGAATCCCTGAATAGTGCACCACATGTGCCTTCACATTGACTGTCAACTTATAGCGACCCTATGAATTTCTTAGGGCTCTTTTAGACAAGATATACTTAGAGGTATGTTTTGACAAGGTATACTTCCTTGCCTCTGAACATAGTTATAGCAGCTGGTATTCCTTGACAGTCCCCTATCCAGATATTAACCAGGCCTGACCCTGCTTTGCTTCCAAGAGAGCAGACAGGATCTGGTGCCATCAGGATAGGGCATTAAACAAAGTTAATTCAGAGACCGAATATACTTAAAAGATCTTTCTTTGGCTTTCCTGTTTTTGTCTCTCTAGTCAAGCTTATTATTAGTTTTGGGGTCCAGCTAGAGGTAATGATTAAAAGCTATCATGGGAGTGTTAGTGAAGGAGAATTGGCAGGCAAGTGATGGGCCGAATGCCTTCTCCCATCCATTGATTGTTTTTTGCAAATGCCTTTTATTCCTTTGTTAATATTATAAGGGAAGCATGAGTTGGAAACAACATTTTTTTTTCCACAGCAACTTCATCATTCCCATCTGAAAGTTACATCCATGTTCCCTACTCATTTCATTGGTGACTTGCTGGTTAGGTTTCCTTTTGCGTCAGAAAGCTATTGATGATTGTGTGTCCTACAGTGCTCCTCCACAAGGAAGAAGCTACTGAAATAAGATTAACAAAATTACTGTGGGGTTAAGAAATTAAATTGAGTCAACTATGCTTTGTACTTCCACTACTAAACTGATTATGTGTGTTCAATCATACATTATTTCTGCCTCTTGTTTCTAGAAAGAGCTCTAGAAGCCTCTCTGTTTATGGGATGTTCTTGGCAAGATTTCTTCAGCGGAGGTTTGCCATTGCCTTCCCCTGGCTGAGAGCTTGTGATTTGCCAAAGATTTATTGTTCAATGGCCGAGCAGGGAATTGAGCCCTGGTCTCCAGAGTCATAATCCAACACTCAAACCACTACACCACACTGGCAAGGCAGATTCCCTCATGGGGAATCACTGGAAAAAGAACTGACATAACATTGATAATGCCATGATACATTTGTATGACTACAGAGGAAGGCAAAGGCAAACCCATGCTGATATTTTTTTACCAAGAAAACCCCTTATAATTGTCATGAAGTAAAGATTACTTGAAAGCAGACAACATCCACAACCACTCATACATTACCACTTCTAGCTCAATGATCAGCTCCTCAGCTTGTCCATTATAAATGTCACCTTAGGTTCAAGACCAAACCCAGAAAAGGTAAGAGTAAGGACCTTATCACATGGGGCTCAATGCAGTCAGAACCAAAATGAAATCCTGACCTAATACGTATTATTTTTCCATGTGTCCACACA